AAAAAAAAAAAAAAAAAAAAAAAAAAAAAAAAAAAAAAAGAGTCAACCAAGGAGGACCTCTATGTACCTTACCCCAGTAGAGGCACTACTGCTGACAAGCAGAGCCATGTATCTAATTGTTAACTTCCCACAGCAACCTGAGAAACCCTCCAGAATGAAGAATTTTAGCTAACATGTTATAAGGTTAAAAAAAATGCAAGCTCTCATATCAGGGTTCATTGGGACGACCAATCATACATTCTTAAGACAAAAGGCACTAAGTGGACCTGGTCCTCTTCCTGGTAGACCAACTTTGAGCTGTTCAATTAAAAAAAAAAAAAAAAAAATCTGGGGCAAAGGGGAAATGCCTCAATGTTTTGCCTTCTCCAGCAGAGCTTGAAACACTAACAACAGCAGCTGCCAGCCACCGAGCACTGGGCCGTCCCATCCTCACCTCAACCTCAACCTGCCAGTTAAATTCCCGATTTTAGAGCAGGGCAGTCTCTATAGTTAAGTAACTTGCCCAAGTCCATAGTGACAGATCTAGGACAAAATGAGATTGAATCAACAAAGCAGCAGGAATGCATGTAAATCAGATGAGATGCTTAACATTTGGCATGTCTTCCACCTAATAAATGGAGCTTCAATACTGACATGACTCAGCAGCCGAACTGACATTTGTTAGGACAAGGCAAGGTGGGCACATTGTAGAATCATCTAGTCGGCTTGTAGGGAGCCTCAACTCTTCCCCGCCCCAATGGCACTCTACGCAGAGGGTGAAGAGTGCTTACTTGTGATCAGAGAATTCATGATGACATGGGTAGCCTTAGCCTTCACCACTGGGACCTTGTCCACACTGTCAGTGGCTGATGACAGCGTCACGGCAGGGGAGGGTAGACTGGCCTCTCCTTCCTCCACCTGTTCAAGAGAGGTACAGCACAGAGCACTTAAGCAGGGCAGGGGAGTCACACACCTAAACTCACTCCTCTGGGGAGGATGTTACTGAAATCACATTAATCTGGTAAGTGAGGAAATAGTTGAAGGGAGGAGTTGGTCATCTCCATCCAGCTAGATAGGTATTATCCATAGTGACAACAAAGACATTATGTGAAGAGTTCACATTTATAAAAGTGGGAAAGCCAGAATTTGAAGCTCTGAGATCCACTACCTCCCCAGACTATGACCTTCCAATACACTATAGTACTATGCCAATGCAGAAGAAAAGCCTATTACGAAGCAGTGACCACACAGCAGGCACTGTGCTAGGTCTTAATTAACGAGGGCACTGGCTAAGTGTTTCTCACCCTGTGCCAAGCATTAGAATCGCCTGCAGGCTTGTTAAACAGGCTGCCAGGCCCCACCTCAGAGTTGGATTCAGTAGGTCCCGGTTGTTCTGGGGCGGAGTTCGAGAATTTGTTTCTAATGAATTCCCAGGTAATGCTGATGCTGTGGATCCCAAGACCACAACTTGAGGACCACTGCTCCCAAGGTTCAAGTAATGGTCTTTTGAAACAAATTAAAAAATCTACTTAGCTCCTAATTTTTAACATGCAAGAGCTGGGAGCCGCCACCTTCTGCAATTGAAACACCTGATACCTTGCTCCAGCCTAGCAGGGAGGAGAGAATAAGGCTTACTCTTTATTCTGTGCTTATCTGGAAGAACTGATAAGATGGTTGAAAAGTGGGGACAGATAAAAAGTACTGAAAATGTTGTATCCTTACTACAAAACAGAATTTATACCTTTAAGCTGTGACCTTGAGTAAAACTTGAGCCTATGTTTCCTTACTGGGAAGATGGTTGATTCCTAACATGGGAAGAGTTAGGGCAAATAAAAGACTGCATGGAGTCAAGCGGAGGTCTCCTTTACAGCAGCTGTTCCAAGTTGTCAGCTGTTCCAGCTGAGGCCCCACAGAAACCTGGAAGCCTGCTTATCCCTTGCCTTGTGGAGCCATCAGCAGGGTGTGTGGCCTGGGAAGTGCCACCAGAAGCCCTCTCACCTCCTGCTCTGGACCTGAAGCCCACTGCTCTGATGTTGCAGGCAAGCTGCATCAGGCCTTTTCTCCTTGCACTTTTGCTACTTGTTACATGGAATACTCTCTCCTGAACAACCAACTGGGTCGTATTTCAGTATATAATTGATACAGGGAATATCCCCCAGAGCTGTAGTGGGCACTTTCCTAGAAAGGAGCTTTCTGCCCTGAGAGTATATTGGAGGGTGGGGAAAAAAAAACACTCATTAGAAAGAATCAAATATGGCTCTACAAAGAGAAAGTGACAGGCCTTTGCATCCCCTTTATTTAATCCCCAAAACACCTCTACAACATAAGGTATTCCCAACTCTTAAAGGGAGACACTGGGGCTCCGGGTAAAGCTGTGTGCCCAAGGCGTTGCCAGGACAGACCACTTGGAATTCACACCAAGGTCTATTTCAGTGGACCCTTACTGTGTACTGCCTGTCAGGCCCTGAGCTATCATATGGCTCAAAGGTCAGAGAAACTGGAGCTAGGGGGTAAACACCCTATGTGAACTTGGCAGGCCTACTTTATCCAGGCAACAGTATAACATTTTTTGTATTATTGGTGGCTGGAGAGTCAGAGGTGAGAAATGTCCCTGAGATCAGGAAGCACAGGCTCCAAAAATGCGAAACCTACGAAACTGGACTGCACAAAGGACTGTGAGGTGTATTAGGAAGGGCCTTAGGAAGGAGACAGTTACAGAGGACGGCCATGGGAAAATGATGCTGAGGCTGGAGAAACAGCATGAGGAGAGGCACAGCACGTGTTCAAGAAAGGGCCAATTTTTTCCCCAATCACAAAATGAACATCTTTGGGGAATCTCTGCCAGGCCTTCTGCTGGATCCCGCAGATAGAGTACAAACCTAGACATGGCCCCTGTCCTCAGGAAGCTAATGGAGGGTGAGAAAGCAACGCAGGGATGGTGACAGGGACCATGATACTGTGGAGAGCTCAAAGGGAGAGGTGATGGCCTTATCAGGAGGATGGAGATGTCAGAAAAACTGTCACAGAAGAGTCTTCTGAGTTTAGACTTTAAGGATACCATTTTTCAGGCAAATGAAGTAGGGAGAAGGGGTGAGAGAACAGGATGTGGATGGTAAATATCCTAAACAATCAGGGCAGTGTGAGCCAAAGACTGAGAGGCAGAAAATATGCTGCTAAGTGCAAGAATTGTAGGTAACTTGCACGGTTCAAGCACTGGGTAGGAGAGCTGGGGAGAGGCAGGCAGGACTTAGATCACATGGAATGTGGCTGAGCCTGGATTTAGCTCTACAGGGAATGGGAAGGGATTATGGAAGGGTCAAGGGCAGACAAGGCCATTCTAGTTTTGAATTAAAAAGAAAAAAAAACCTGGCCAGGTGCGGGGGCTCATGCCTGTCATCCCAGCACTTTGGGAGGCCGTGGCAGGCGGATCACGAGGTGAGGAAATCAAGACCATCCTGGCCAACATGGTGAAACCCCATCTCTACTGAAATACAAAAAATTAGCCCGGCATTGTGGTGGGCGTCTGTAGTCCCAGCTACTCGGGAGGCTGAGGCAGGAGAATTGCTTGAACCTGGGAGGCGGAGGTTGCAGTGAGCCGAGATTGTGCCATTGCACTCCAGCCTGGCGACAGAGCAAGACTCCATCGCAAAAAAAAAAAAAAAAAAAAAAAAACAAAAAAAAAAAAAAAAAAAAAAAAAAACAAAAAGAAAGAAAGAAAAGAAAAGGAGGGGGAATTAATTTTAAAAACCATCTATTGGGTACAGTGTACACTATTCAGGTGACAGGTGCACTAAAAGCCCAGACTTCACCACTATACAATTCATCCATGAGAACAAAACCACGGGTAACCCTAAAGCTACTGAATTTTTTTTAATGAAATAAATGAAATTTTTAAAAAAGCAAAAAAGACATCAACTATAACTGAGGCACAGAAAACACATACAGGGAGTGGTTGCCGCCCGATTCCATGGGCACAGAGAGCCACTGAAGGCTTCTGGAGCAGAGGAAGGACAAAGGGGTTGCATTTGCTGGAAGTGGCCAGCAGGGTCAGATACCTTGGCGAGGTGCTGATACTTGCGCTCTGGAATCACTGGCTTCCAGGGGACACTGCCCATGTCCGATGGAGGAGGAGTCATGGGTGCAGGGTCCTCGAGGGTATCATCATAGCTGAGTGCCCGGCGGTATATCCCGATGGGCAGGGACATCTTGCCTAGAGGCCCACTAGCCTCAAGAGCTAAGAACAGAGACACCTGTCAAGACAGGTTCAGCAACTGGACATAGCAGTAACTTTAATCTGCAGGAAGGAAAGTTCTGAAATACTCTTGTTCTCAGACAGAGCAAAAATAGCTTGTTCTGGAGCAGCTAATCCCAACCAGGAAAGGCCAATCCCTTCCTCTATGCCTGACACTTTGGGTGGTGCACTTACCCACTCGGGCATCCTCATCCTTTTTTTAAATTTGTTTAGAGACACAGTCTATGTTGCCCAGGCTGGAGTGCGGCAGCACAATCACGGCTCACTGCAGGCTCAATCTCCTGAGCTCAAGTGCCTCAGTCTAGTGAGTAGCTGGGATTCTTATAGGCATGTGCCACCATGTCCCACTAATTTTCATGGATTAGGAAACCTGAAGTTCTATTTAAATGTACTTGGCCACAACTTCAAAGTACAGTTTGGAATCAAACCCCAAAACTATCTGATTTCAAAGCTGTGTCCTTTATGCCACAGAAGCCACCCTCTGATGCAATACTAAGGCTCTCAATTCATGCAAGACTGAGGACATGACATGACAGAGGATACGAAGTTCTCATTCCCATTTCATAGATGAGGAAACTAGGGTCTAGGGGTAAAGTGAGCAGCCCAAGTTCATTCAAAAATGGCGACCTGGGGCTCAACCAAAGTCTGTGAATCCTCTACCTTCCTTTCCCCACCAAAGAAAACAAAAGCACTATAAAAAATGTTGTCTGGCATCATCTGTAGTTTCAAATATTCTGTATGACTTATTTAAACAATAGAGTCACTTTCCATCATAGAAATTATTGACAACCAGTCTCGCAAACCACCACCAGCTGATCGTGCCATTCCTGTCTACTGGAACTGATCCCCAGCATGTCCAGCTGTGATGCAGCCACCACATTCAAGGGCACTCTCAGCTGTGCCAGGCCAGACAGCCAAGTTCATTGTGTTTGGTTTGCTAATCCTTCCATATCAGAACTAATATCCAGAGCCTACCTTAAAGGTGAAATTTTCCTGTTGCTAAAATCACATAATCATACTCTCTAAGACATCAACCTGCCTGACAATAAGCCCAAAACTACAATAGATTTCATATAAATGGCAAGGGGACCAAGCAGCTACCATTGTTATTACTATTGCTCCTAATAATAATTAACAAAAGCATAGAAATAAAAAGAGGATTAGTGGTTGCTGGGGGTGAGGAATGAGGATATGACTGCTAATGGTATGAGGTTTTCCTTTGGAGGTGATGAAAACATACTGTAATTTGGCCAGGTGTGGTGGCTCTCGCCTATAATCCCAGCATTTTGGGAGGCTGACGTGGGCAGATCACCTGAGGTCAGGAGTTCCAGCCTGGCCAACATGGCAAAATCCCATCTCTACTCAAAATACAAAAAATTAGCCAAGCGTGGTGGCATGTGCCTGTAGTACCAGCTACTTGGGAGGCTGAGGCAGGAGAATTGCTTGAACCTGGGAGGCAGAAGTTGCAGTGAGCTGAGACCACGCCACTACATTCCAACCTGGGCAACAGAGTGAAACTCCATCTCAAAAAAGAAAGGAAAAGAAAATATGCTGTAATTAGGTTGCAGTGTTGTTTGCACAACCCTGTGAATATACTAAAAATCACAACATCGTTGACTTTCAATGGGTGAATTTTATGGTATGTGCATAGCATCTCAAACACACAAGCAAATAATAATTATTAAGTCTTCCTCCTGGCTAGACAATTACATCCCTCATCTTACCTAATCCTCATTAAGCAGATGTTCTTCCCATTTTCCAATTTCCCATTGTTGCGATCAATTTGCCCAACATCACCCAGCTCAAAAGAGTACGCTGGGAACTGGAACACAGACCTAAGCCAGTGCGCGCACACTGCATGCAACACACTACAAAGCGTTCGCCAAATGGGCACAACCCTATGGCTCATGATGGCTACATAGAGTTTACGGTAATCACAGCAACAATGAAAGACAAACTAAAACAGAGCTGATGATGTTAAGACTGGCGATAGATCTACATTAGGGAATACAGGAGACTTCTATTAATCCACCTATATGGGGAGCAATTTCAAAAACATCTTAGACTCCCACTGAACAGCCATCCTAAAAGTAATAAAGTTGGCTAATACTTACGAGAAAATATGTTCCTATAAAAAGAGACCAAATGCATTCTGGGTAGTAAACGCATATTTATCATTAATTTTTAACTCCCATTTTTACATATTTTGTTTAATCTTTCACAATCCTAAGAGATACGAACCATCATCTTTCTTTATCATAATACTTTACTAAGAATCAGAAATTTAGTGATTCAAATTTAATTAAAACTCACTTTCCCTACTCATGAAACAATTCAGGGAGTGATTGATGGTGTCAGTAACCCAGAAATTGACTCATTAAGTGTTGCTGTGAGCATTTTCATGATTAAGTTCAATCTGCCATTTAAGCAGGCTGGTGCCTTTTTACCAAGACTTCCATCTCACCTCCCCACCACCACCAAAAAGGTGAGTTTAATTACTTTGGTACATACTACAAGAACTGCACAACTTATTCTGAATTCTTATTTGATATCTGTAGTAAAGTAATAAATTTACCATAATACCCTTAAATGAAGTGGCTGTTCTCTTTAAATTAGGTTAAAGTTTAATACTACGGCTGAGTTGCTAACAAAATATTTAAATGATGCCAATCTAAGGCTGGGCACAGTGGCTCACGCCTATAATCCCAGCACTTTGGGAGGCTGAGAAGAGTGGATCACCTGAGGTAAGCAGTTCGTGACCAGCCTGACCAACATGGAGAAACCCCATCTATATTAAAAATATATAAATTAGCTGGGTGTGGTGGCGGACACCTGCAATCTCAGCTACTCAGGAGGCTGAGGCAGGAGAATCACTTGAGCTCGGGAGGCAGACATTGCAGTGAGCCAAGATCGCACCACTGGATTCTAGCCTGGGCAACAAAGTGAGACTCCGTTTCAAAAATAAAATAAAACTGGCCAGGCTCAGTGTCTCACACCTGCAATCCCAGCACTTTGGGAGGCTGAGGCAGGCGATTCACAAGGTCAGGCATTTGAGACCAGCCTGGCCAATATGGTGAAATCCCGTCTCTACTAAAAATACAAAAATAGCTGGATCATGCCACTGCACCCCAGCCTGGGCGACAGAGCAACACTCCATCTCAAAAAAAAATAAAATAATAAAATAAGCCAATCTATTAAGTCTCAATACTCGCCTAGTGGCAGAGATTAACCATTAATAAACATGTAATTCAGATAAAATGGTTTCTGTCTAGCTTAAAACATTAATAAGGGCAAAACATGATTTAACCAAGAAGAATTAGGTTTACCAGGCACTTCTGGTTGTCTTGAAGCCATTGAAAGACTGGGATCCAGTTGCTTTTTCTATATAGAATTCCGAGCTGAGTCCCTGCCACCTAATAAAATAACAAAGGGCATTTTCTTATGGTGAACACCAAAGAATAGCGCAAATGCTGTTCTTCCGACAGGCACACAGAATGTTATGGCTTGTTTACAAGGTTGAAACACACATACAAGAGCCAATGGGTGACAAATATGCCAATGAAAAAAGGATAAAGTCAAAGGTCTCACCACTCCCGTGGCTCATCTGAACACCTGTGAGATGACAGAGCTAAGACGCCATACATGGTGAAAAAGTCACCTTACCACGGTGAAATGATGTGACGACTAAGCTGACAGACAGATGTTAATGAGGAACATGGTCCAGCTGCTGCAAATTAGCAAAGCTTCCCAGGAAGAGTCCATCCAGAGGTTCTAATAACAACAAACAGCCAGCATTGGAACAGCCCATCAGTCTGACACTTGTTTATTCCCCACAACGACTTTGCAAATGCTATTACACTCATTTCATTTTCTTAACTCACAGCAAGCGGCCAGATACCACAATAGGGAAATTTGCTCTTTATTGCTAACACTATAAACTATTTATAGCGTTTATCTTGTCTTTTAATCCTTGCAGAAAGATGACAAAGCAGACATTATTTATCCCAATCCTAATTTATTTTTTTTAAAGCTATCTCTTCCATGAAGGATAGCCGAAATTTAAAGAGAAGGAAACTGGACCCAGGAGGGCAGATCACTTGAGGTCAGGAGTTCAAGACTAGCCTGGCCAACATGGTGAAACCCCGTCTATACTAAAAATACAAAAATTAGCTGGGTGTGGTGGCGGGCGCCTGTAATCCCAGTTACTCGAAAGGCTGGGGCAGGAGAATCGCTTGAGGCGGAGGCGGAGGTTGCAGTGAGTCGAGATCACGCCACTGCACTCCAGCCTGGGCGACAGAGTGAGACTCGGTCCCCAAAATTAAAAATTCTAAATTTTAAAAATAAGGAGAAGGAAACTAAAAATCAGAGGAGTTAAATAAATTTGTCCACGGTCACAGATAAGTGGCCCATCTGCAAGACAGGGAGTTTCATGCCCAGTTTCCATGGGAGTTAAAACGAGGGCCTGAGAAAGTTATTCTACTATTTTTCAGCTTGCTGTACTGTCCCTCTATTCTGATAGGGCTGAGGGAGCAAACCAGTTATTGACAGTTCATTAAGAACGTCGCAAAGGCAGAGTTCAGCAATCCTCCCTATCCAGAGAGCATTCCCGCCCCAGACATATCCCCTTACCTTTTCCCTTTCCCTGTGCCCCCACACTCCAGCTCACCGCTCCTCTACCCCTACTTCACAAGATACAAGACGGTGCCGCCAGGATATGAAAGGCTGGCTGCTTTTCCCACCCCTCCAGGCCAAGATTAGGGCCAGGACCCTAGCCTGAGGCTCCCGAGGGTGTGGCAAGGAGAGGGCTTGGGAGATGAGGCTGAGGACAAGCAGCGGGCTGGGCTGCTCCCAGGAAGCGGAGGGGAAGCCCGTACCGGAGCTGCAGGGTATCACCGGAGAGAAGCCCCATTGCGGGGACCCCGGACAGCGGAACCAGGGCGCAGCCCGGCCGAGCTCGAAGCCAGGCTGAAGGGTTAAGGGGTGGGGAGAGGGGAACTACTTGGAGGGGCCCCGAGACCGGGCCTCGCCGGAAGCGTCCCTCCCGATCCGCAGAGAACGCAGCCCTAGGGAGGGCCCAGGCCCGCCATCAGTTCACCTGTTATCCTGCTGCTGTGGGGCTGCCTGTGGCCCGCAATCCGGCACTAAAAAGGTTCCGAGGGCCCACGTTTCCCGAGATGCTGTGGCGCAGTCTGGACCCAAGCCATGGTGAGAGCTGCGGCGACAGAGAAGGTCTCCAGGACCTACCAGGAAGCACTGCCCGCCGGGCGGGCAAGCAGCCCTTGAGATAAAGCCTCCGGAGACCGCGGAATCTCGCGCGAGACTTGGCCCACATGCACTCGGGGCATACTGGGAGTTGTAGTCCACCACCACGAGACCCCACGCCCTTCGCTACCCAGCGGGTTGCCTAGCCGCAGCTCTCAGTGTGGAATCCTCCAGCCCCGAAAGGAAACACCACCCCTCACCACCACTTCCTCTTCCCCTGTGCTGTGCCTGGGTCCGTGACAAGCTAAGGGAAGATAGAGATGGCATAGTAAAATGACACCCACAAACCTAATCCCTCAAGGCTCAAAAAGGGCTGCCAAGTGCCAGCACTTGTCATCCTATTTTTCCCACTTCACGGAGGTGAAGCTGAGACTGAGAGAGATGAAAAGTCACTTTGATTAATAAGCGGTGTAGTGAGCACGGACTGTCTTCCAAAAACAGCGGGGATAGGCAGGCTTCATACTAGTAACTGAGCCAAAAAGGGGAACCGACCTCACCTGCCTCCCCTAGGAAAGGCGATCCTAATATCATTTCTCTATTACAGTAAGGAAAGTGAGGCTTCGAGGCACCAGCTAAGGTGCCAGTCACATCCTGAAAGAAGACTTCTCTTATCCTTAAAGGGTTCACAGAGAAGACAAAGCAACGAAGTTAAAGCAGAAGTTGCAAAAATCTATCCACATTTCTACCCCAGTCCAAAGCTTGCCATCAAGACCCATCTCAGGAGGGCTATGAGTGGTGGTGAGGGGTGGATGTCACATTTAGATTTCAGCATTTGAGGCTTCCAGGCATACTGGCAGAACTGAGAGGCCTTGCTAATACAACTTTAAACTGTTTAAGCTGTTTCCAGACCAGGGTGCTTGAGTGCACTACAAATTAAAGTCTTTAATGAATTATATAATTAGCTTATGAATAGCACAATTATACTGCAGCATGATTGTGTGTGTGTGTGTGTGTGTGTGTTAAAGGTGTACTTTTGTTAATTTCAAGCTTTTAAAATATGCCATATTTTTAACTTCTGTGGAAGCAAAGCTGGCACCTTGCTCCTTATCCACCACAGTAAGGGATGTATATCACATCTCAGTAAGAAAAGGAAGAAATAGCACCTTGCACTTTTATATAGATCATAAGATGGGATCATCTCATTTATTTCTTAGCCACAAATATATGAAAACTTAAGACTTTCCTGGAAGTTACTGACTCTGATTAAAACAACTTTGTCTGGGCACAGTGGCTCACGCCTGTAATCCCAACACTTTGAGAGGCTGACGTGGGCAGATCACCTGAAGTCAGGAGTTTGAGACCAGCCTGGACAGCATGGCGAAACTGTGTCTCTACTAAAAATACAAAATCAGCCAGGCATGGTGGCAGACGCCTGTAATCCCAGCTACTTGGGAGGCTGAGGCAGGAGAATCACTTGAACCAGGGAGGCGGAGGCAGCAGTGAGCTGAGATCACACTACTGCACTCCAGCCTGAGCTACAGAGTGACTCCATCTCAAAAAAAAAAAAAAAAAAAAAAAAAAAAGGGAGGCGGAGGCAGCAGTGAGCTGATATTGTGCCACTGCACTCCAACCTGGGCAAAACTCCATCTCAAAAAAAAAAAAAAAAAAAAAAAAAAAAAAAAACCTAGGCCGGGCGCGGTGGCTCAAGCCTGTGATCCCACCACTGTGGGAGGCCGAGGCGGGTGGATCACGAGGTCAAGAGATCGAGACCATCCTGGTCAACATGGTGAAACCCCGTCTCTACTAAAACTACAAAAAATTAGCTGGGCATGGTGGCGCATGCCTGTAATCCCAGCTACTCAGGAGGTTGAGGCAGGAGAATTGCCTGAACCCGGGAGGCAGAGGTTGCGGTGAGCCGAGATCGTGCCATTGCACTCCAGCCTGGGTAACAAGAGCGAAACTCTGTCTCAAAAAAAAAAAAAAAAACTTTTATCCCTGATATTTGTGGTACCAATGTCTGAAGCTGTCATGGTTTTGGTGGATAGCACCTATGTAAACGTTTTTTGTTTTTTTTTTTTTTTGAGACAGGGTCTCACTCTGTTGCCCAGGCTGAATTCAGTGACACAATCATGGCTCACTGAAGCCTTGACCTCCCAGGCTCAAGCAATCCTCCCACCTCAGCCTCTCAAGTAGCTGAAATTACAAGTGTACTCCACCATGCCCAACTTTTCTTTTTGTAGAGTGGCATTTTGCCATGTTGCCCAGGCTAGTCGAAAACTCCTGGGCTCAAGTGATCCCCCTACCTCGGCCTCCCAAAGTGATGAGATTATAGGCATGCACCACCACACCCAGCCTAACTGTAAACTTTTAATCTTAGCAATTTTGTGGGTTTTCCCCTCTACCTGGGTGTTATTTTTCAGGAGGAGCTAATTCTTTTTTTTTTAGACAGAGTCTCACTCTGTTGCCTATGCTGGAGTACAGTGGCACAATCTCGGCTCACTGCAACCTCCACCTCCCAGATTCAAGAGATTCTTCTGCCTCAGCCTCTGAGTCACTGGGATTACAGGCACATGCCACCACGCCCAGCTAATTTTTGTAGAGATGGTGTTTCGCCATGTTAGCCAGGCTATTCTCTAACTCCTAGCCTCAAGTGATCCGCCTCTTGGCCTCCCAAAGTGCTGGGATTTTAGTCGTGTGCCACCGCGCCTGGCCCAAGGAGGAACTAATTATTTTAATGCCTAGACTCCCATGCAAGACCTATTCAAGTAAACTGTTTTGCTAAATGGTTTAGTTTCGTAAGCTTTCTATACCAGCTAGGGAGGGTTAAGTCACAACCGAATCACAAGACTTAAGAAGGGTCCCTCCTGGCCAGCACAATGGCTCACACCTGTAATCCCAGCACTTTGGGAGACCCAAGGTGGGTGGATCACCTGAGGCCAGGAGTTCGAGACCAGTCTGGCCAACACAGCAAAGCACCATCTCTACTAAAAATACAAAAATAAACTGGGTATGGTGGCACACTCCTACAATCTCAGCTACTCAGGAGGCTGAGGTAGGAGAGTCGCTTGAACCCGGGAGGTAGAGGTTGCAGCCGAGACTGTGCCACTGCACTCCAGCCTGAGGGACAGACTCCATCTCAAAAAAAAAAAAAAAAAGAAAAGGTAAGGGGACAGAGAGACAGGGTGACAAGACTCCAGCTGAGAAATACGAGGATGGTTACTCACTCAGGAGTCAGGAAAGGTGACACAAGGCCAAATTAGACCTCGAGGTCTTCAAATTAGACCCCGAGGTCTTCAAATTAGACCCTGAGGAGCCTTCAGTTCTTCTTTTTTTTTTTTTTCTTTTCTGAGACAGAGTCTCACTCCGTCACCAGGCACCAGGCTGGAGTGCAGTGGCGTGATCTCAGCTCACTGCAACCTCCACCTCCCAGGTTCAAGCAATTCGCCTCCCTCAGCTTCCCAAGTAGCTGGGACTACAGGCACGCACCACCACACCCAGCTAATTTTTGTATTTTTAGTAGAGATGGGGTTTCACCATGTTGGCCAGGATGGTCTCGATCTCTTGACCTCGTGATCCGCCTGCCTCGGCCTCCCAAAGTGCTGGGATTACAGGCGTGAGCCACTGCACCCGGCTGAGACTTCAGTTCTTAAGGGATCAAGGTGCTTTTCTTTGAAATGACATAAAAGGTACATGAAGGCCGGACGCGGTGGCTCAAGCCTGTAATCCCAGCACTTTGGGAGGCCGAGGCGGGTGGATCACGAGGTCAAGAGATCGAGACCATCCTGGTCAACATGGTGAAACCCCGTCTCTACTAAAAATACAAAAAATCAGCTGGGCATGGTGGCACATGCCTGTAATCCCAGCTACTGAGGAGGTTGAGGCAGGAGAATTGCCTGAACCCAGGAGGCGGAGGTTGCGGTGAGCCGAGATCGAGCCATTGCACTCCAGCCTGGGTAACAAGAGCGAAACTCCGTCTCAAAAAAAAAAAAAAAAAAAAAAAAAAAGGTACATGAATGCTGAGATTAAATCCCTGTCAGGATTGTTTCTCTCTCTCTCTTTTTTTAGAGACAGGATCTCATTCTGTCACCCAGGCTGGAGTGCAGTGGCATGAACACAGCTCACGGTAGCCTCTAACATCTGTGCTCAAGCAATCTTCCTGCCTCAACCTCCCCAGTAGCTATAATTACAGGTACACAGCACCACACCCAGCTAATTTTTTATTTTTTGTAGAGACAGTGTTTCCTTATGTTGCCTAAGCTGGTCTCAAACTCCTGGCCTCAGACGATCTTATCACCTCAGCCTCCTAAATCACTGGCACTACAGGAAGATCTCGGCTCACTGCAACCTCCACCTCCCGGGTTCAAGCAATTCTTCCTCAGCCTCCCGAGTGGCTGAGATTACAGGTGTACACCACCATGCCCGGCTAATTTTTATATTTTCAATAGAGACAGGATTTCGCCATGTTGGCTAGGCTGGTCTCAAACTCCTGACTGCAGGTGATCTGCCCGCCTCAACCTCCCAAAGTGCTGGGATTACAGGTGTCAGCCACCACACCTGGCCAGGCCTGTTTTTCTTTAAGGGACTATGTTGCCCAGGCTGGTCTCAAACTCCTAGGCTCAAGCAATCCTCCCTGCTCAGCTTCCTGAGTAGCTGTGACTACAGACCCATGCCACCACAAACCTGGCTTGCTTTTTAATTTCTGACAGCAACGTACTGGATAAATTCACCAGTGCTAAATTTTTCTTTTTGGAGGCCTTGGGCTCCTGTTTGCCAATGAGCTGATCCCTCAAGGACTGAGCTGCTGCCTCCACCAGGATTTGAAAGCCATCTAGAAGCTCCCCAGGTATACAGGTGGTGAAAACAAGTTTCAAGCAAAAGAACTGATCAGGGTTTGTTGGTGGGGAGGGGGCCTGCACACCTTCCCTGACTCCAGTTCCCTCATAGTGTATTCTACTTACGCTAGAATAGGGACTTTTTTCCCCACCAGTTGTCAAATGATCCTTTATTGAAATATTTTCCTTTGTGCTTCTTAACAAGCTGGGCGTTCCACAGCACCACTGTTGATGTCATCTATGATGTCATTAGGGTGGAGGCCATCAACATTACAGTCCACAGGCTGGGCAGTTCCCAGGATTTCTCTAATGGTTCCAGAGAGTTCTCTGGCTGCAGATCAGTGCTGTACCTGTTGAGCAATGTTAATGATCTCATCAAAAGTGATAGTCCCACTGTGTTTAATGTTACTCTGTTTTTTTCTGTCTATTGGTGGTACCTTGAGGGCTTTGATGATCAGGGCAGAGGCAGAAGGCACCACCTCAGTCTGGGCCTGTCTATTCTGAATGGTCAGTTTCACTACAATCCTCAGGCCCTTCCAGTCACATTTTGCCTTGGCAATGTCATCACCAACCCTTTTCGGAGACAAACTCAGGGGGCCGATCTTGGGGGCCAGCACAGACATGGCACTGACTTCACCCTCAGTGCATCTCAGGTATACAACTTTGGTCTCGCTCACATCGAACTTCAGCAGTGTGGTGGAGGCGGCTGGTGTTGGATGAACCCAGATTCAGGACAACCGAAGAAAATTGCACCTTGGCTTCCTCTGAGCTGAGAGCCAAAAAGGGGACTTTCAAACTATTTTTTATTACCACATCCCAAAGTAAGAAATACTTTTTTACGTGGTGCCCTAGTACAAACCACACATTCACAAAATTCATAAAATGCTGATGTTTTCCATTCTATTCTTTTTTCTTTGAGACAGAGTCTCACTCTGTTGCCCAGGTTGGAATGCAGTGGCACGATCTTCAATCACTTCAACTTCCGCCTTTCGGGTTCAAGAGATTATCATGCCTCAGCCTTCCGAGTAAGTAGGATAACAGGTGTGTGTCACCATGTTCGGCTAATTTTTGTATTTTTAATAGAGACGAGGTTTCACCATGTTGGCCAGGCTGGTTTCAAACTCCTGGCCTCAAGCAATCCACCCAGCTCAGACTCCCAAAGTGTTGGGATTACAGGCGTGAGACACGGTGTCCAGTCTTCTATTTCATTTTCTAATTTAAAGTTGTAGTAGCAGCCCCTAAATTAATTTCACAACTCCCTAATAGTCTTGAACCAGTTTGAACCCCAGCACTGGAGCCATACTCTTGGGTTCTCTCCCCAACCCTCACTCACTGTCTCCCACAGGCTTGATTTATTTGGATGGGGATTTTAGAAGGCAGGAGGCATGCTCAAACTGGCTGCTTCTGAGCTCCCCTCCCAGCCCTGCCCATCTGCAAGAGAAGCTCAGGATGCTCCCTGCTTCCTGGGGTGGGGTCTGGCTCTGTAGCATCAGCAGGTGACATTTTTCTCTTCATTTGGCTGTCTCCTGCATCTTCTCAATTAGTTCTAAACTTGTGGAGAAGAAGTGTTATTTATTATCCTATAACATTTAGCAATGTTAAATAGTTCCAGGAGTTCCAGCAAGATAAGGGTTAATTTGTTCTCAATGGGTTTTCCAACAAGGGATTTGTTGGGGACACAGGTGAAAACAGTTTCACTGGGTCAATGGGGCAAGGCATAGGAAGCACAAATTATTCAGAAGTGGGGCTGAAATGGACAAGAACAAGAGGTAATAACCAGAGAAGCTAGTTTTCTGAAATGGAAGGAATCTGAGTATAGTGTGTGGGCTGCTAGAAAAGAGCAGGGGGCAGGATGGGAGGTAAGGAGTGAGAAGGGGAAGTGGGCAAATTTATTTATAAGTTAGTCCGCTCGCTGTACAAAATGGCATGGAGTGGCTAACAATGAAACCACATCCTGAAATCAATGTCAATACACACACCAGGGGCAACCATTAACCAATGGAAAACTGGAGCCGGTACTAAATGCTCCAACCTCTTTTCCTTCTGAGAGGCATTTAGTGCCCTTAGAGGTCCCTGTGGGGTTCGGCCCAGAAGGTCCACAGCAGAGCCCTTATTGTGCATCGTGACAGTGATCTCCTTTTCTTCCCTGTGCTACTCTCCCCATATTCTTCCTCCTGCCTCCAGACATAGCCTCCCAAATAAGTGCACAGTCCTCCAAAAGTGTTAATACATAAATAAATTTTTCTTTTTCTTTCATTTTGAGAGGGAGTTTCACTCTTGCCGCCCAGGCTGGAGTGCAATGGCGCGATTTTGTCTCACTGCAACGCCTGCCTCCGGAGTTCAAGCCATTGTCCTGCCTCAGCTTCCCTAGTAGCTGGGATTACAGGCGCCCACCACCACGCCAGGCTAATTTTTGTAGCAATAGTAGAGTCGGGATTTCATCATGTTGTCCAGGCTTGTCTCAAACTCCTGATCTCACCCGCCTTGGCCTCCCAAACTGCTGGGATTACAGGCATGAGCAACCGCACCGGGCCAGAAATAAATTTTTCAAAAGAACCAATGCTGGAAGAAATAAGATATAGCTAAAACATCACTATCTGGGAGGAGAGGAGCATAGATATGCAGCCAAAGGGAAAGGGGGCCAAATCAGAAGGAAAGGGGCTGGGACCCAGGGATACAGAAGAATCGGGAACTAAAAAGAGGTGAAGAGTTGAGACAATGTACAAGGGAAGCAGCAGACCTGCTGGATCCTGAGAGCCAGGACCCAGGTACAAGAGGCGATTTCTTGACCCAGGTACCCTACAGCTGTACATGGAGAGCCCCTCCAGAGAGCCAAAAGAACCCGACTGCTGTACTCGGGGCGTTTCTCCTGTTCTTCCTCCTCGTGCTACACACCTAGAAGCCTTGGCAGTCACTGGGGGGACCTAGGACAAGGTAGTAAGCTCTAAACATTCTAAACTCCTGACACTGCTTAATTCAGCCTGATCAGGAGCCCAAGACAGCAAAAACCCCGGGGTCCGGGAGGCAGCGAAAGGAGGCTAGAGGCGGCGGGGAGTCAGGAACCTGGGTTCTATTCCTGCCATAGCCATGTAATCTCCAGCATCTTGCTTCAATTTCCTCCCCAAGGTCTTGAGGGATGCCTAGGAGACAAAACGCTTGGGTTTGAACGCAGGCTACACCAAAGCACTATGATGCGGCGTTGGGCGGGTTACTGAGCTCCTGGGCCTCAGTTTCCCCTTCTGCGTGGTATCGCTGTAAGGGTAACCGAGAAAAGCCGTGAGCTAACCCCAGGTGGATGCTAGCAAGCACAACCGTCTCCCGTCCTCCTCAGGCACAGCCTCTCAATCTCCCCGGCGCGCAACTGGCAGGGGGAGCGAAGGTTCCCTAGGGCCAGCCAGCGCCCTCCACCGCGCCGCCAGATCCCGGGCGGCAAGCCGTGACAGCGGCGGTGCATTGTGGGGCTTGTAGTGCGGGACTGGGGCTGGGTGGGTGGGCGCGGCCGAGGCAGTCGCAGCGGGGCCATCTTCGGCGGGCGGGCGGGCTCGGACTGTGCAGCCCGCAACTGTGCCCCTCGCCCGGCCCGATGGCGCCGCGGCCGCTGGGCCCCCTGGTGCTGGCGCTGGGCGGCGCCGCGGCAGTGCTGGGCTCGGTGCTCTTCATCCTTTGGAAGACCTACTTCGGCCACGGCCGGGAGCGGCGCTGGGACCGAGGCGAGGCCTGGTGGGGCGCGGAGGCTCCCCGCCTCCCCGAGTGGGACGAGTGGGACGTGAGTGCCGGGCCGAGGCCTGCGGAGGATGGGCAGGCCGGGACTGCGCCTCCGCGCGTGTGGCCGAGGGGTGTGACCGCTGCCCTGCAGGCGCCAGGAGCTTGGTGGGGGGTGGGGTGGGGGGGACGATGTCAGGGGCTTGGCTGCAGCAATGCAAAGGCTCCGCGCGGGTGGGCGATCAGAAACCGAGGAATGGGTGGGCGTGATTGGGTGTGTGCAGCGCCGCAGCACCACGCTGTGGGAATCGGTCGTTCCCGCGGGGGCCGCAGTTTGGAGGGCGCGGCTCGGGAGCATCCTAGGACGCTGCTGGGTCGGCTCGCGCCCCTCCCGCACCTGCGCAGTGCGCCCTGCCCCGGGGCATGCAGGGAGAAGCCACGCCCCTCCCACTTGCTGCCGGGACTCTGAGCCTGGCAGAGGAAGCGGGCGCGCGTGAGGGAGGAATTCGCCCGAGGCCGCTAGTAAAAGCCACAAGTCTGGGGTTTGGAATTCAGGACTCCCAAGGCAGCTCTCGTGCCCCTCCTCCAGACCATGCCTGTCTGTCCCGGGACGAGTGGAGGGCGGGCCGGTGCGCTCTGGTGCCTTCGGTCTTCCTTCGGGAAGGGTCCGCCGGGAGGCTGCCGGCCGCAGCCCGACCTCCGCTTCCCCGCAGCCCGAGGACGAGGAGGACGAAGAGCCAGCGCTAGAGGAGCTGGAGCAGCGCGAGGTGCTGGTGCTGGGGCTGGATGGCGCGGGCAAGAGCACGTTCTTGCGCGTCCTGTCGGGGAAGCCACCGCTGGAAGGACACATCCCCACGTGGGGCTTCAACTCCGTGCGGCTGCCCACCAAGGACTTTGAGGTGGACCTGCTAGAAAGTGAGCGGACACCCTACCCCATTTCCTCATCTCCTCTACTTTACCAGTCCTGGATTCTCTGCAGGGAAGGAGGCTTCCAAAATGCATGTCTAAGCAGCACTTTCCCCTGTAGGAATCCTTCCCACCCCTTTCTTGGGCACCGGATTCAGTCCAAGCTCTGTGCTCTGACATTTAGGGCCCTTCATGATCGGGCCTCTCCAGTTGCGCTCAGTAAATACTTGTTGAGTGCCTGCTGTGTGTCAGGCATTGTGCTGAGGGCTTTGTGGGGATCCAGAGATAAGCGCCTCTGACTCTCACAGCATAAGGGTCAGAGAAGCATAACCAGAAACACTAGGATGCAGGGTGACCAATGGGACTGTGCAGAGGGACAGAGAGGAACAGAAAGGTGACCCAGGCTGGGGGACTCTGTTGGCAACCATGTGTTCTTAGGATGAAATATGGCATTTCTAAGGGAAAAGAAGGGCGTGGGGAAACTGAACAGGGGAAACTGAATGAAGAATGGCTGTGTATAGGCAGGGCAGGGGGTCTTGAGTTTTCTAGACAGTAGGAGTCCTGGCTCCTATCACAGCCATCACTGACAGTTTTGAACCTATAAGAGAAAGCTAGGAATTGACAAGAGGCAAAGCAAGACAGCCAAGGGAGAACTGAAGAGTACCATTTATTGAGCACCTATGTGTCAGTCCTGTGAAAGGTACATTGTACATGGTACTTGTGGGATTTACTGCAGCCTTTTAGGAAAGTTCAGTGGGGAGTCTGGTGCTTAAAGCTATGGACTTGCCCTGAGAGACCCACCTGTCCCAGCTAGAGCTAAACGCAGTCTGAGAAGCTGTGGAACCTGCAGCCTTTTCCTTGTCCCTGGCTGGTGGAAGCTCGCAAAGCTAGAAGTAGGGTGCGGTGGGGCTGTGAGCATTAAGCCAGGGCCCAGGAGGCTCTGAGCTGGCCCCTGGCCTCTCCTCAGTTGGTGGCAGCCAGAACCTGCGCTTCTACTGGAAGGAGTTTGTGAATGAGGTGGATGTGCTGGTGTTTGTGGTGGACTCAACTGACCGACTGAGGCTGCCCTGGGCCCGACAGGAGCTGCACAAGCTGCTGGACAAGGACCCTGACCTACCTGTCGTCGTGGTGGCCAACAAGCAGGTGAGGGCTGTGGGAGGCCAGCTCAGGGCAGTGGATACCACTTAGAGATGCTTGGGTAGGGGCAGGGAGCGCTGCCTGGGCCCATGGCCTAGGGAGGGTGGCTGAGATGCTGCCCCCACCTCTTCTACCTTTGCTCTGTCCTCATCCTTGCCTCTGTCTTCCTTCCTCTTTGCCTCCCTATCATCTTGCACCCTGGAGAGATGAGAAAAATAATAATGAAGTGCTTGCCATATGCCAGGCATGGTGTTTTGTTTTTGTGTTTGTTTTTTGAGACGGAGTCTGTTGCCCAGGCTGGAGTGCAGTGGCGTGATCTCGGCTCACTGCAACCTCTGCCTCCCGGGTTCAAGCAATTCTTGTGCCTCGGCCTTCCAAGTAGCTGGAATTATAGCATGTGGCACCGTACCTAGCTAGTTTTGTATTTTTAGTAGAGGTGGGGTTTCACCATGATGGCCAGGCTGGTCTTGAACTCCTGACCTCAGGTGATCCACCCACCTTAGCCTCCCAAAGTGCTAGGATTACAGGCGTGAGCCACGAGGCCCGGCTCGAGGTGGGGTTTCATCATATTGGCCAGGCTGGTCTCAAACTCCTGACCTCAAGTTGAACCGACCACCTCAGCTTCCCAAAGTGCTGGAATTGTAGGTGTAAGCCACGATGTCCGGCCCCCAGGTGTGGTTTTGAATAACATTTCTTCTTATGCTTCTGTTGACCCTATAAACTATGGGATACTATTCCCATCTTATAGATGAGCGAAGTTTTGTAACTTTCCAAGGTTGTACATCTTGAGTAATAGAATTAGTACAGGCATGGTGGCTCATGCCTGTAATCCCAACAGAGGCTGAGGAAGGTGGTTTCTTTGATTCCAGGAGTTTGAGACCAGCCTGGGAAACATGGTGAAACTCTATCTCTACAAAAAAATGCAAAAAAAAAGTAGCTGGGCATGGTGGTGGGTGCCTATAGTCCCAGCTACTTGGGAGGCTGAGGCAGAAAGATCACTGGCACCTAACAGATCAAGGCTGCAGTGAGCTGTGATCACATCACTATACGCCAGCTTGGGTGACATAGCCAGACCCTGTCTCAAAAAAAAAAAAAGTAGTGGAATTGGGATGTCTAACTCTAAAGCTGTACCTTTTCTACTCTGCTATGCCCTTGCAACTTCTGGCTCTAGATCAGAGAACTAAAGCTGGTAACCGATTAGAGGTAAAACAGGTTAAATAATAACAATAACAGCTAACATTTATTGTGTGCTTACAGTATACCATACATGTGGTCCACACCTGACAATCATGACCTTACTTCAGCCCTGCAAAAAACCCATGATAGGCCCTGTCATTACCACTAAATACCTGAAATTACAGCTGGTATGTGGTAAAGCCCAAACTCAAACTCAGATCTTCTTCAAAGTTCCTGCTCTTAACCAGTATGCTGTACTCTCTTTAGTGCCAGAGTCACCTTGGGCCCAGGAACCCGCAGTATCACAGAGTTGGGTCCCATTCTCAATATCAGGTGAAACTGCCAGAGTACAGAATCCCATCATATTTCCTGTGGCCTAAACTCAGGTGCCTCTGAGAGCTGTAGGATTTGTTTCCAACCTGACTTGGAGAGAGGCTGTATGTCTTTTCTTTTTTTTTTTTTTAAGACAGAGTCTCATTCTGTCACCCAGGCTGGAGTACAATGGTGTGGTCTTGACTCACTGCAATCTCCACAACCTCCACCTCCTGGGTGCAAGTGGTTCTCCTGCCTCAGCCTCCTGAGTAGCTGGGACTACAGGCGTGTGCCACCACACTTGGCTTTTTTGTATTTTTAGTAGAAATGGGGTTTCACTGTGTTGGCTGGTCTTGAACTCCTGACTTCATGATCCGCCCGCTTCAGCCTCTCAGAGTGCTGGGATTGGAGGTGTGAGCCACCGCACCCGGCTGGCTGTATGTCTTTGACCTCAGATTCCCCCACCTATTAGGAAACATTTGACAATTATTTATAAATAGGTGACCGTATGTCCTGTCCAAGACAGTTTCCATTTACCACTGTTGTTCTGGTACTCTTAATAGTGCCCACTCTGAGCCTCAGACTACCCCAGTTTGGACTAGGAATCACATCATATGCTATTTATAAACTAGTTTATAGCAGTTTTGAATCTGTAGGAGACAACCTCTAAGGTCCCAGCAGTCTATGAATTGCTCCAGGAAGAATCATTTAATCTTGCGCCAGGGTTGAAATTACAATGTACCATCACCAGCCATGCTGTGTAGTGGTCTCTTGTTTTCCTCCAGCTAGTTTCTAGAGATCTTGTCTGGAAGTGATCCTACTGTATCATCTGTCCATGACTGAGTTGAGGACCCTTGGTTATCAAACCAACCTGAGTTGGAACCTGGCTCTGCAGCTTATCACTGTTACCTTAGCTCAATGATTTCACCTTCCTGAGCCAATTTTCAAATCAATTAAGTGTAGACTGTGAAAATTAAATAAGCCAGGTATATAAAGGCCTTGTCTACAATGCTTGACTATAGAAAGTGGTGTGTTTCGCCAGGCGCGGTGGCTCATGCCTGTAATCCCAGCACTTTGGGAGGCTGAGGCGGGTGGATCACAAGGTCAAGAGATCGAGACCATCCTGGTCAACATGGTGAAACCCCGTCTCTACTAAAACCACAAAAAATTAGCTGGGCATGGTGGCGCGTGCCTGTAATCCCAGCTACTCAGGAGGCTGAGGCAGGAGAATTGCCTGAACCCAGGAGGCGGAGGTTGCGGTAGCTGAGATTGCGCCATTGCACTCCAGCCTGGGTAACAAGAGCGAAACTCTGTCTCAAAAAAAAAAAAAAAGAAAGTGGTGTGTTTCTTGCCACAGTGATTGATGACGCAATGAAAAGAGATTGATACAAAGGAGAGCCCAGGGCGAGGGAGAAAGCATTGAGTTTAGACCAAGGGGTCCAGAGGCTACTTCTGGGAACTTGGGACCTGATATTCCTGGGTGTAGCCTAAAACAGTTTATTTCACGAACGACAAGGGTGTGAGGAAATGCTGCCAGCTGTGTTCTGATTTCTCTGTCTCATCCAGGACCTGAGCGAGGCCATGAGTATGGTGGAGATGCAGCAGGAGCTGGGCCTGCAGGCTATTGATAGCCAGCGGGAGGTTTTCCTCTTGGCGGCCAGCATTGCCCCCGCAGGACCCAGCTCTGAAGAGCCTGGCACCGTGCACATCTGGAAACTGCTCTTGGAGCTTCTCTCCTAGGCTGGAGCTCTCCTGCTCACCGCCTGCCCATGAAGACCACAGTTGTACTGCTGCTGCTTCATTGTCAGACTGGGCCTGGGGCAAGAGCAACATGGCAGCATTTCCCTTCTCCCCTCATTCCCCTCTCGAGAGCAGGACCTGGGTAAGGCTAAGAACCATGCAGAAGCCTTCATGGTGAGGTGACTGTGAAGCTGAAGCAGGGAGGTGGGTGAGAGAGGGTGGGGAGGATAATGTCTGGCTCATTCCAGACTGGAATGTGGATCCAGCTTTCCCTTCTCTTACCTGTACAGTGAGATGCTCAGTGGACTCAATCCTTCCCTCCTTACAGTCCCAGCAGCCGAGGAATTAGTGTAGGTGTCAGAAACATTCCTAGAGCCTCAAGGTCTCCCAGTCTAGACTGTTCCCTCCTGGTGACGTCATGCCCTTCTCACGTGGGCAGCTTCTGAGCGGTAACACAGCAAGCCTTTGCTCCCAGTCCTGCATTGTACAGCCCCAGCTCTACGTAAATGACTTGTGGCCTTGTGCAATCTCTGCCTCTCTGGCCCCAGGGCCATTATTTTTAAACAGAGGTGGTTTCCTGATTCGGAGATGCCTTTCCCAGCCATGGGAGTGTGAAGTGCTAGGATGAACCTGGCGATCCTAGTAAGGAGCTTTCTGAAGACCTCCCTGCTTTTCCCTGAGCCCAGGTCTGGTCTGCCAACCTCTCTTGACTACAGAATAACTGATATTCACCGACCAAACAGAAAAAGTGAAGGCTGGGATTTTTTCCCACTAATCTGGCGACAAGCTGCTGCTCTTGTACTAACTGTGCCAATGCCCATGTTTACAGAAGTCAGGGGAGTGAACGAGCCTGTGTCCCTGGGAAGACGGTCAACTGGAGCTAGGTGTTGACCTCAGAACTGCATTTTATTTATTAATTTATAAGAGAAACAGGCCAGAATTCTAGGCTCTGTTTCTAGGTGCTGTTATCAAAACCCCAGATGATAGTGATAGAAAATCTAGAACTTAGGAAAATAGCTGGAATCATGAATGACAATGAGAGATTACATACAGATGTCAATGGAGACAAAGTTGTAGGCTTCCTCCTACCACCTGGCCTTTGAGGCTGTCGTTGATACCGTAGTACTTTACGTGGATTCACATGAACTGAAACTCTACCATTTGGCCTAGGATGTTGAAAGGCTGCAAACTCCTACTGGGTAGATAACAAATGACTCTGGGAGAGGATCTCCATTATGTGAATCTAGGTAAAAAGATGGGGAAAAAATTGTATTATGCGATCCTAAGGATAGGAATAGTAGACCAGCCAACAGGATGGCCTTGGGTACATCACTCAGTCTTTCTGGACTCATTTTTTCCCCAGTGAAAGCCAAGTTGGACTGAATTTCTGGACTTCTCATCAGTGCACATTCTGTGGTTCTCCAGCACTTGGTGGTCAGTCCAGTTTGAGGACTGGCTGTGTACTGACATTTATTGTTGGTACAGGCAAAGAGGAGCCTGTTGTCTGTTAGGGGCCACTAAATAATCAACAACCACAAATGGATTTTTTTTTTTTAAGGAAAGCTGTCCAGCTCAATTTGCTGTCTGGTTGAGAATAGAGATGTGTGCCTTCATTTCATTTGACATTTACCCAGCATGCCTCAGTTCCACACTGTGACCAGTGCAAGAAGAGGAACTCTGATAAAAATAGTTCAACAGGCAGGAAGGAAGGTGGGAAATACTGAAGTCCAGAAGTGAATGTGATCGTTGGAAGAGTGGCTGCCGTGCCCTTGGGCTCCATACACATCAGAGTAGAATCACTGTTCTTTAAAGTGCTGGTTCACTTTCTGCAGTAAGAAGTGATTTATGTGCTCTTATATAAAACTTTAAGGAATGACTTGGGTTTTAGAGTAGCCTTTGAAACTTTGCTGGCAGCTTTTCATTTTGTCATTGGAAGGGTAAGAGACTTTTCTCCTTTGTTATATGAGCTCCTTATTCTTCAGTGCTTGAAGGTGTTAACAAAAAAAAAATCTTAGACAACTTTAACAGAGTTTAAAAACTGTTCTGTTTTTGAGCAGAAAAAAGATTCATTAACAGAGTAGTATCTAGGATGGAAAGCAGTTCAGAATGCTCAGTGTGTGTAGGCCATATTTATAGCCAGAGAAATGAAAATGACTTAGATTGTCTGATTGGCTACAGTCTGGCATTTGCCTTATTTGGACATATTTTAGCAGCCTTCAGCCTATGATTAGACTGAAGGTTTGGCTGCTGTGATTGGCTAAAATTCGGCTACTTGTTAGAACATGCTTTTAGGTTAGGTTAGGGGTTGTTTACACTTTAAATTACAATTCACTGTGTACAAAGGCAGCTTTAGGCCAGACTTAATTCAGCTTAACAATTTCCCCCATTTTGGTCAGCCTCTTAATTTTGAGAGATTGATAATTCCAGGCACTGACACTACCTTCTAGCACTGTCATAAGAGACTTGTTTGATCTCATTATGGAATTCACAGTTTATAATGTTAGAGGATTCTTCATGTCTTCATGTTTTTGTTACTCTAATCGTAATGAAACCGTTTGAGGTACAAAGGATGGCTGCATTGGCGTATTTAAGACTATAGCACATCAGTGAGGACCTTAGGATGGCTATCAGGAGCATCATACCAAGAAACTGCAATGCATTCCTTAATATGAGTCTCCACAAACCAAACTGATCAGAATCAAACAGCTCAAGTTCAGATGATAAAAATAGTTCAATGGCATTCAAGCTCTGTTGTTCATAGTCTTTGTTCAGGGCATAATGGCAACTAAGGACCTAGTTCACTATGAAGTAGCTTAATTTTAAAGTTTGATTTTTTAGTTAGCTTGGTAACACAAGTCATAGTTTTTGGGATAGCCACTAAAAAGAAACATAAAGATTAGAAAACCTTGAATAGTTAAGCTTGCTATCTACCATTCAGGATGCCTACAAACCAGCCACTCTCTGTTCTGCAAACACATTATGTGTTCCTTTTTCTTGAGAAATGTCCTTGATGTGTTTGGTGGCAGTATCTACAGAAGTGACAGTCACCACTGACTTTTTTTTTTTTTTTTTGAGACAGAGTTTCGCTTTTGTCTCCCAGGCTGAAGTGCAATGGCACGATCTCGCTGCAAACTCCGCCTCCTGGGTTCAAGCGATTCTCATGCCTCAGCCTGCCGAGTAGTTGGGATTACAGGCGCCCACCACCACATCTGGCTAATTTTTTTGTATTTTTTAGTAGAGATGGGGTTTTACCATGTTGGCCAGGCTGGTCTTGAACTCCTGATCTCAAGTGATCCACCCTCCTCGGCCTCCCAAAGTGCTAGGATTACAGGTGTGAGCCAGCGAGCCAGTGCGCCTGTTCCCACCACCACCTTTTGAAGCTCTCCGTATTAGTAGAATCAGGGGAAAAATAAGCACAGCATTCAGTTTTGTTCAGCACCATACACAAGCTCCTAGCTGGGCAAAGGAAATCTAAAGCTACATGAAGTTCCATTAAGTGTTTTTGTTGAACACAGATGGCCTCATCCATTCATCTGTGGCTTCTACTCGTGTGAATCTATGCACTACAAAATTTTTTTCAATTTAGCATTAATTTTAATTTCCATACAGTTGGCACCCCACTACTGCCAAAACTGAGTCTCCAGGAGCCCCACTGGGACATTTGATCAGTGAAAACTGATCATCTGTTTGAGGGTAGGTATTCATTTTAGTCCTTGGCCTCTGATTATGGGGACTTTCAGGGAAAGCTGTTCATAAGGCAAGTGTGAATCAGGCCAAACAGCAAGATCTGAAGTCAGGACAGAGTAAGCAAATTATCCAGAGACCTAATATATACCCTCTGAAGCTGGAAAGGCAGGGCCACCTGGTAGCATTTCAGCAGGGGTTACTTAATGTTCCCCCATAAGTCTGCATAGCTCCTAAACAAGGTTTAATGGGGAATTTGTTTTTATGTGGTCCTTTTATAGCATGTTGTAAGGGTGCATAACCACAGCCAGTGAAACGGGATCCTACTGGATGTAACCCAGGGACATTATATAAGCAATCGCTTGGACTCACATAGGTAGTTTCCAGGTCTTAAATATGTGATGCCTGGAAGCATAGGCATAGGCAGTATTCCTTGCATAGGCATTACCTGGACAGGTAATAACTGTAACTAATACATTGGCATTTATTAGTTATTAATTGAAAAGGTCAGGGTACCACTTCCAGTGAGTGTAGGGAAGCAAGTAGTAGTGGTGTTTACAATATCAAGGTTAGCATTCCACTATTCCTTTGGGGTTTCAGGGTGACTCATTGGGAACATGGAGAGATACTGGCATTAATGGAATCGTTTCCTGATTTGGGCATTGACTCGCAAACTCAACAGTTACTCCAGTTTCTTGCTAGAGCATTAGCCTTTGCTAAAGCCAGCCTCAGATTATGGTCCCATGGATCTTCCCATAAAGAGAGGGAAAGGATTTGGGTGGCAGAAAATAGGAAACAGGGAAAAAGATGATTTTTTTTTATTGCAGTGAAGTCCTGATCCACAATCTAGGGAAAGCTGTTCATGTCTAGGATGTCATTTGCTTCTGGGGAAAAACTTCCCTGCTTAGCTTTACTGAATAGCTTCCATGTAGGTCCAGGAGTCTGGAGAGGTCCTTTTGAGTTGTGGGATGTGGACCCAAGGTTTGAAGCCCTGAAGTTTTACCACAGTGTGGGGAATGGAAGAATTTGGTGTATCTTTCAGTGAGGTTTAAGGTCACTTCTCTGATGTCATTTCCAGAAGATCCAGTCTCAGGTTCCAGATTGTGAAGGGTTTGATTGTCCTTTGTGGGTCATGGGAAGTTTATTTTGTCAAAATACAGTGTGACATAATGCATTATAGTTTGTAGTATTTAGTCATATTAGCATTTAGGAGCGTAGGAACTACATAAAGTTCTATTAGGAGCACAAACTTTTCAGTTACTATTTCATAAGGGCTCCATCTGTCTCTTGTAGGAGTGGCTCTGATCTGCTGATCAAAGCCAATGGTTGACTTTCAGATCAGAAAAATAAAAATTAAATTCAAAGCCAATGGTAGTACCTTTGGCCAAGATAATATAATTGATTCAGTTAATTTTGCCAATTTTAATTTTAAAATGTTATTGTCCTTTCCAGAAGACTAAGGGTGAAAGGGACAATGGTAGTGCCATTGTGTTTCTATCACTTTATTTAGCTGCTTTATAGTTTCTCCAGTCAAATGAGTTCCTCTGTTGCTGGAGATTCTTCCAGAGATGCCCCATAAAGGAAACACATTTTCTTTCTTTTTTTTTTTTTTTGAGACAGAGTCTCACTCTGTCACCCAGGCTGGAGTGCAGTGGTGTGATCTTGGCTCACTGCAACTTCCACCTCCCAAGTAGCCGGTACTACAGGCACACACCACCGCACTGGCTAATTTTTGTAGTTTTTAGTAGAGATGGTGTTTCACCATATTGGACAGACTGGTCTTGAACTCCTTACCTTGTGATCTGCCTGCCTCAGCCTCCCAAGGTGCTGGGATTACAGGTGTGAGCCACCGAGCCCAGCCAGGAAACACATTTTCTTATAACTCCTTAGCTACTGTCATAGCATCAGCTTTCTTACACAGGAAAGCTTCTATCCAACCAGAAAACATGCCAGCTGTTACAAAAACATACTGATACTGAGGGTGGCAGTTGAATGAAGTCCATCTGTAAATGTTCAAATGGTCCATCAGGCGGTGGTGGAAATATACCACTTGGAGTTTTTATTATATTCCCGGGATTATGAGTTTGACAAACTAAATATTGTTTATAACCCATTTTAGCAATTTAGAGTAGTCACACTACCAATATGTTTTATAATTTGAATCATTTTGGTCATTTCATGAGGAATTGTGAAGTGCAGATCTTTTTTTTTCTTTTTTTGGACACAAGGTCTCACTCTGTCATCCAGGCTGGAATGCAGTGGTGCAATCATGACTCACTGCAGCCTCCACCTCCACGGCTCAAGCAGTCCTCCCACCTCAGCCTCCTGAGTAGCTGGGACTACTGGTGTGCACCACCATCCCCAGCTAATTTTCGTAGAGAGGGTTCTACCCTCTTGCCCAGGAGGTCTTGAGCTTCTGGGCTCAAGCCATCTGTCCAGCTCAGCTTCCCAAAGTGCTGGGATTATAGGGATGAGCCACTACATCTGGCCAAGTGCAAAGCTTTTAACAGTGGAAGTTTCAAAGGCTCAGGAAGGACCAGGGAGCCACAGGCTCTCCATGAGTTCACACTTAACATTATGTTTACATCTGTCAGACAACAATTTTGGTTTTCAGGATCAGGTGCATTGCACTGTTAGATGGGTCATCAAAAAGGTCATCAGTCTAATGGTGTTCATTCATTGCACATCCTGTTTCAGCACTGTCTGATTTAGCATGAAAATCTGCCAGGGCATTCCCTTGAGATTCAGGTTCAGCTTTGCAGGTATGGGCTTCAATCTTATAAGAATTTGTTATTTATTTGTTTTTCACCTTTACTCAAGATAGCTTGGAACTTAGAGCAATTTGTGATGCCAGCAGGATAGCAGCAGGTTCATCCAATTGAGTCTGTTTTTAATGGAGGCTCCACTAGAAGTGAGAACCCCTCTTTTTTTACATAACATGCCGCAACTGTGGACTACTCCAAAGGCATGTCTGCTATGTAAATAACATTTACTGATTTCCCTTTAGCTATATGACAAGCTCAGGTCAGAGGGATCGTTCTGCAGTTGGAGCAGACTTAAACTGGGGAAGAGTCCGCTTTTTTATTAACTCATGTTCGGTTGTAATGACATATCTTGCCAAAGAATAATTTCAAATGATGTTAGTCTACTTGCTGAAAAATGCTAGGTTTTACTGGAATTTAATAGACTTTCCACAGTATGCGGAACTTGCAAAAAAAGTTCATTCTCTAAAACCAGCTCAGATGAACCCTTAATCTGGTGGTTGCTGCCACTGCCTTTAAACAATTAGGATATGCCTTAGGCCATAATATGTGATGGGCCTATGTTTTCCCAGCTATGTTCTTTTTTTTTTTTTGGTAGGGGGGATGGAGTTTTGCTCTTGTTGCCCAAGCTGGAGTCCAATGGTGCAATCTCGGCTCGCTGCAATCTCCGCCTCCCGGGTTCAAGTGATTCTCCTGCCTCAGCCTCCCAAGTAGCTGGGATTAGACGTTTGCCACCATGCCCAGATAGTTTTTGGTGTTTAGTAGAGATGGGGTTTCACCATGTTGGTCAGGCCAATCTCAAACTCCTGACCTCAGGTGATCCGCCCACCTCAGCCTCCCAAAGTGCTGGGCCAACTTGGTTGTTGAGTAAGAACTCCTAATGCCTGATTGTTTATGAACAAATAAGGTGAAGGGTTCAGTACAATTTGGAAATCCTAGAGCAATCATATTTGTTACTTTCCATCCTGGTTTATGTTTCTTAAACTACGAAGTTCTGAATGAAGTCCTTTTTAAATAGAGCAGTTAATGCCATTTCTGTCCCTGCAGGTTTTCACAAGTAGTGTTTCTAAATGAGCTCTATAATCTGAAACTGCTTCATCTTTCTTTTTGCTCGCAAGATTATGTGATTGGCCAATCCATTTTTTGTGGAAAAAGCCTTACAGATTGAATTTTAAAGATTTTCAGCAATTCTTCTAGTTCCTTTTGGACCTCCTTTGAGGTTTTGGAGTGGTCTTTAGTATCCTCAGGTTGTTCCCATTCTGCTCCTGCCATCCATTTTCCAGCTTCACCAGGTCCCAGTATCGTGAAGAAATTGGTAACGATTAGGGACTCCTGGATCATAAACTCCTATGAGGATTCTCAGTTTCTCCGTACATTTTTTCAGTATTTTCTCTTGGATTAGTTAAGTCCGTATGATGACTCTAAGCTCAGCTTTATAGACCTTAGAGTAAAAGTGGTTACAGCAGGCAGGTGATTACAGCAGATTCGTTGAGTAGAGAATCTCACTTTGTAAGGCATTTACCAAATTTCCCTTTTTCATTAGCCTCAAGGAGAAAAGGTAATTGAGCAAAAGGGTTACGATACTATCGATACTATCAAGGTAAAGAAGAGAAAGAGAAGGAGCA